TGGGGGGCCCATGGGGGCGGGGAAGGGGCAGGGGAGCTGGAGGAGGCAGCCGATGGGGACTCGGCTTGCATGCCTCCCCTGTACCCCCCATTCCTCCATGATTTAAATATTAAATGGTTTAAATATTAAATTAAATGGTTTAAATACAAAATTAGCTTATCAGCACAATTGCTGATGGAAGTCAAGCCCAAACAACAGCTCAAGAAGCAGAAAACCTTCCTAAAAACAGGCGAGATGCTTTTTCATCGCCCTTTTTATCCCCGCCTTTCCCGGTTGGAAAACCCCAGCCTGAGGCCAGCGCACGCAGAAGAAGCTGGAAGTCATTTGGGGAAATTTTTTTTTTAGGCACGGGAGGCTGTGGATTGCTTGAGGACCGGTGAAACCACAAATTGTTTCTCACAGTCAGTCCTCAAGGAAAATAAACAAAGTGTGGTAAGGGCTCGGCGTCCTCCAAGCGCTTCCCGGGCGCAGGTCGCGGTCAGCGTCGCAAGCGCGCGGGCTTCACACGCGGGGACGCCCTTTCGGGAATGATTCCTCAGCCCGTACAGATAATAATCATCATCTAAACGTGGATTTTAAATCAAATAACACAGCGTAGGCTGCTTACAAAGCGGCATCGACTGGGCAGCAATGCACCGCCGCGTTCCTCCGCGCAGCGGGGATGCGCCGATACCCGACCTGAGCACGGAGGGTAATTATCAGTCCTGAGCTAGCTGATTTAATTAATTTCCTTTTCTTTATGATGACCTGGGGTTTTCCAGGGCCATTTCTATTGCTGATGTGCTGCCATCCCGGCTTCGCCCCGACGCACTCTGCTCACCATCACCCAAGGGGCCGGCGACCTCCAGGGCTCCGGCCACCTACGTGTGGGCACGGACAGGAGGGGATCGGCCGCGGCCGAGCGATGCTCCGCTGCGCCAGCAGGTCACTTTGTATGGGCTTTATCTGGGCTTGTTCAGCCTGGAGGCTGCCCAGAGGGGCTGTGGAGTCTCCTTCTCTGGAGATATTCCAGCCCCGCCTGGCCGCGGTGCTGTGCCCCCTGCTGTGGGTGACCCTGCTTGGGCAGGGGTTTGGGGTGGGTGACACACAGAGGGCCCTGCCAACCCCAAACGTTCTGTGTTTCTGTGATATTCCCATGCCTGTTTCTGGCACCCAACGCACCCCTCCAAAGCCAGGTGCCTTTCCCAGCCTGATTTCTAAGCCCCTTCTGCATTTTTGCCTCTGCTGACCGAGCGCCTCTGTTGCCAAGCTGCCAGCTCCTTGTTAACTCCATCCACGTGCTTCCAGCAACCACTTTCTGCCCTTCCCACAAGCCAGACCCTTCCTTTGACACCAGCTCCCTTCCCATCCCTTTTGCATTAACTCCTCGAGAGCAGCGTGAGGAGAAGGACTTGGGGGTACTGGTGGGTGAGAAGCTCACCATGAGCCGGCAATGTGCGCTTGCAGCCCAGAAAGCCAACCGTGTCCTGGGCTGCATCCAGAGCAGCGTGGCCAGCAGGGCGAGGGAGGGGATTCTGCCCCTTTACTCCGCTCTCGTCAGACCCCACCTGGAGTCCTGCGTCCAGCTCTGGAGCCCCCAACATAGGAAGGACATGGATG